TGTAAAACCTAAATAATCCCAAGGCAGGACAATCTGACAATGTGTTCTTGAAGTCTAAGGTTTTAGAGACCTGCCCAGCCTCAAGTCCTGGGCTCTGCCACCTGAGCACAATTACACCTTTGTGTGTGCCAGGCTGGACACACCTAGCTCCTTGAGGCTTAACACAAGGTAAACTGAACTAGTGACTCTAGATGGCTTTGAACATTAAAGAAGAAACATTGTAGGTTGTGACATGTGGAAGTTATGTAAAAAAAAAATAGGAGAGGATACTAGAGGAACTGGAGATGCCTTCACTCGGGAAAATAGGAATTGCTCACAGGCCCACTTAAAAATAACACCAGCAAGCTCATATGCCCCAGACATAGATGATCCAGATGTCACCCACTTTAATTTTTCCTTTCTTATTGTTTAGAGTTAGACAAATGGGATACACATTTTTTGCTTTATTGATTTTTTTTCACCCTGGACAGTTTTCTTGCTTCCTTGTTTTGGGGGCCAGTTAAGCCATGCATGCTGCCTGTATCAGAGGTAAATGTTTTCACTGGAAAGAAATTGAAGAAATTGGAAGAATGTGACCATGTTTTACCAATGGGTACACTTTAAAGAATGAAAACAGGCAAAGGCTTTTCCACATTGGTCACAGGAAACTGCCATGGACTGGGGGGTTCTGTCAACATTGCTGCAGTTTAGGATCAGTGTCTGTATTATTATATTTATTTGGTCCTTTGGAATTATTTCTAAAGAGTATCGAAAACAAACTAAGAAATAACAACAATCACCACTCCAGCAGGCATTGCTCTTCTCCATAAAGAGGTATGAAGAAGGGAGGGGGTGAGAAAGAGTTCCTGAGAATGCCAAAGATGCCTGATGAGGGAGTCACAGTATTTCATGAAGATGATGTTTTTACATCTCTCCCCTCTCCCACTTAACAATAGAACAGCTCACTGTAGACACTGGAAATTAATAAATTTATATAAGTAAACATCTACTGCAATACACACATGACACTACATGATTTTCTTTTTGTTTTTAAATATTAGACGTAATTATTCCCTGCACTGTATATCTATATACTACTAGATTATAAATGAACTTTTTTGAAAAATGAAAAAAATGATTTTAGTTTCTCTGAGACAGGGTCTCATAAAGCCCAGGCTGACCTTGACCTCACTCTGTAGCAGAGATTGGCCTGGGTTTTAATCATCCTTGACTCTCCTGCTTCTATCTCCCAAGTGATAGGATTAGAGGCATACACTATCATAGTTGCATGCTAAAACTGTCTTATGCCGTGTAAAAACCCATAGAGTTTAGTCAGTCCACTCTTCACTTTAAAAATAGATAACGTTGGTGTTGTATAATGACAGCAAGCAGAAGTCAGTAGAGACATCCAAGAAGACTGTCATTCAGAAAAGAAATAGGAATCATAACAGGGAACGAGTCCATTTGTTCCCCTCTCCCTGATGAGCAAACACACATTGCAGCAATTCTCATGTCACAGTTTGAAGTACTTCCCCTCTATGACCTTGTGTGAGAGAAGGTCTCTCCTCAAGTGACTATCCATGTTAAAGTGAGAAGAGATGGCAGGATTCATCTGTGAAACGGGAGGGTCAGCACTCATCACAAACTTTCCAAGTGACTGATTCCAAAAAGCACAAATGAATCATGGGAAGCTGTGGTGATACTGTGTTCCCTAAAATATTGTGCACCCTAATAAACTTAACTGGGGTCAGAGAACAGAACAGCCACAATATTAAACATAGAGGTTAGGCAGTGGTAGCACACGCCTTTAATCCTAACATTCCAGAGGCAGAGATCCATCTGGATCTCTGTGAGTTCAAAGCCAAACTGGAAACAGCCAGGCATGGTGACTCAGGCCTTTAATCCCAGGAAGTAATGGCAGAAAGCAGGAGGGTATGTAAGGTGTGAGGACCAGGAACTAGGCCTGGTTAATCTTTTAGGCTTTGGAACAGCACAGTTCAGATGAGAGGCATCCAGTCTGAGGAAACAGGATCATCTGAGGAGTTGGCAAGGTGAGGTGGCTGTGGCATGTTCTGCTTCTCTGATCTTCCAGCTTTAATCCAATACCAGGCCCTGGGTTTGTTTTTATTAATAAGGCTGTCTAAGTTTCATGCTGCAGGAAGCTTTATCCTAATTATTTCTCTTTTAAAACAAAACTATTCTTTGTGTAAGTGCTCCTGTAGTGTATATGTGTGGTGTATATGTGTGCCTATGTGTACGTGTGTGGACAGACACCTGAGTGGGGATATCTGATATCCTGCTCTATCAGTGTCTACCCTATTCACTTGAGACAGGGCCTCTCACAAAACTTGAAGCTAGACTTGTGCCATTAAGTTCCAGTGACTCTCCCATGCCTCTCTTCCATAGCATTCCGTGTGTGCATATAAACACACCTGGCTTTCTACGTGGGCTCTTGAGTTTGGAGCGCACATCCTAACAGTTGCCCAGCAGGTGCTGTTACTTGGTGTTCTAGGACTGGGAGCTTCATTGTTTTCTTTTCTTCGTGAAGGAGCTTCCACAGCTCTTTCCAGTGTTAGCATGTGGATTATGTCCTACCGTGTCTAGACTGAAAGGCTCTGAATCCCATTAAAGCACCATTTATTTAAAGGGACACACACAAACCTGTTTATCTCTTTAGTCAAGAGGACAAGGGCATGCCATATACTAGTTTTAAGATCAAACAATTGGTGTACAGGGCACAGACCTAAAGAGGTGACCATACACTCAACAGCAGTCAATGGTGAGTAATGTAGTGGCTGATGTCAAGGCTTGAGCTGAGTCGGTGGGAAGGCGTGTCGCATAGGAGCAAACAGAGAGCAGACAATCTGGAGTCGTCTGTTTCTGTTGACATTTCTTCTGCACAGTGAGGGGCTGCGTAATCTACAAGGAGGGGACCAGGAGGCTGAAGCTACCATCTGAAGGGGCATGAAACTAGGGTGGCGAGAAGCACATGCAAGATGCAAAGCTGTGGGGCCAGCCAGGACAAACCCATCCTCATTCCTGTCAGCCCAGCTCAGCCTCAAGAGGACCAGCCTAGGCCTGACCAATAACCCTGCAGAAGGGAGAGAGCTTGACAGAAGAGTGAAGAGGATTTTGTCCTGGTGTAGGAGCGGAAGACTGTGAAGATGGGCACAGCTGGTCATCACAGGACTGGGCAGGGATTACCAGCACAAAAATTCAGTGAAGTCTAAGCACAGGTTGTGGTCATTCTGGGATGACAGAGTTGGAACAATGTCGTCTCTTCACAGCACAGCATTCCTGGAATCAGGACGATTTGAGACATAGAAAGAGTAAGTCAATACTAGACAGAGAACTTCAGCCGGTGTGGGCGTTTTCATAGTTTGGAATATTGTTAGAGATGAAAGGAAAGAAATGGACTATCTATCCCTGAATTAGCCTTTTCCTCACTATAACAAATGCTCCAGACAAATTACAGAGAGTCAAGGCTTATGGTGCTCAAGGCTTTGGAGGTTATTTTACATTTCCTATGGTGCCTATGGTGCCCATGGTGCCCATGGTGGCATATCAGGCTTCAGTAACACATCACATGACACTCCCTGGCAGGGGAGTGTGAGGCAGGAAACACTCACCTCATGTCTAGGAAATAAAAAATACAAAGAGGAAAGGGCTGGATTCCACCATCTCCCACAAGGACAGTTCCCCACTGGGGATGACTAACTCCCACTGGACCCTAACTGTTAAAAGTCCCACCATGTCACAAAGGCACCGAGGTAGGGTCAAGCCTTTAAAACATGAGTCTTCAGATCCAAACTACAGCAATACTCCAAGTACTCCACAAATTAAATGTAGAAGAGTAAATATGAAAGCAACGTGGATGTAGGGAAAATGGTTTCTTGTCAAAGAATAATGTGTGGTTTTATCAAGGTTGCTCTTTCTCCGAGTCAATATAAGAAGAGTCAGCTGATAAGCAGAAATATTCAACTTAATTTGTATAATACTTGCTATGAATCATTTTGCTTTAAATCCACACTTGTCTAGATCTTTTCTCCCATGTCTGCTGTACTCTACCTTTCCACTGACCACTAGTTTCACTAGATTCAAGGTTTTGAATAGCTTCAGCATCTTCTAACACTGTAGGCTCTATGGTCTTGTTTCCTTCTACTCCTCATCAGTTGATGTTAACATTTCAATCTACCTTCTAACCCAGAGACTCCAACTCAGGTGCTAGCCAGACATCCTGCAGAGTGACAAATGACAGAGTACTCTTCTGGAAGCAGGCTTGAGCCCTGGAATAAGCTGATGGGGAGGGTGCAATGGGTGTAAATGAGAGAGAAAAAGAGAGCAGGATTTGACTCCACCAAAAGCAGCCTTGAATGTAAGAATATTCAATGGCAAAGATTACGATAGCCTGAAAGAAATAGTGTTTTTCTCTTAAGAAAAAACGTTGAGGCAGGGGAGGTTGTCCAAGTGATTAAATACTTCCTGTGTAGACATTAGGATTTGAGTTTGAGACTCAGAAATTCCACACAAAAGACAGGCATGGTGGCACACAGTTATAGTCCCAGGTAGGTCCCTAGTGCAGCTGAGACTAATAGGCAAGTACCAAGCCTGTTGAAGAACCTTTATTGTAAAGGTCAGCTCCTTGGAGTAATACCCAAGGTTGACCTCCAGCTTCCATCTGCAGAAACACACACACACACACTCACTCACTCACTCACTCACTCACTCACTCACTCACTCACTCTGACATTCATGTAGTTGAAACAAATAAGATACTAGATATTTCTTGATCACTGAAGAGAGTTTTTGGCGATTCTGGAAGAGTATCAAGGGAGTTCAGAAGGACAGAATAGAGTGATAACCATTATGTTTAGTAGGCAAGATACCAAGGAATCAAAAATATACCTACCAAAAGAATATTTTTATAGAAGTTTTTGTTTGAAAATTGCTAAAGTTCTTGTTGATAAGGAAACCTAATGGTAAAAATTGACATTTTGCTATCCATAGATATGAAGATTTACCTTCCAGTCTCAGGATCAAATCCAAAGTGACGGTCTTGACACTGGCAGCATCTCCTCCCAGTGGTTGAGGGGTCACGGCAAGGGCACTGCCCGGTGATGCTGTTACAGACACGGCTCACTGCTCCAACTGTGTGGCATAAGCATGGTAGACAGCCAGCGGCATGGCCAGGAGAAATGTAGAAGCCTAGACATAAGAAAGAAATTTCATTTTCACTTTTGGTTCAGTCTTCTCTAAAAAGGATAGTGTTTTGATAGCACTCAGAACCCAAAGACTCCTATGGGATCCCTGGGTCTTACGATACCAGTAGTTAGAGCTCTTCTTAATGAGTATATTAATTACAACTAAAAACAAGCAGTCATCTGCATGAAAATTTAGTGCAGAAGGTGGTGGGGGTGTTGCTGCTCAGCAGTTAAGAATGCTCACTGCTCTTATAGGAGGCCTGGGTTCGTATGCAATTCACAACTATCTCAAACTCCAGCTCCAGCAGAGCTGAGACCCTCTTCTAGCCTTTCTGGGCACTAGACACCTATATAATTTACATACATACATGCAGACAAAACATTCATTTACATTTAAAATTAATTAATTCACGATAAAAATAATTTAAGCTGATTTGAAGAACTTTCAACTAAAAACTGGTGGCACTCCTCTACTCAGGTCCAAATCGTTACCAAGTAGGCTGTGGTGTAGCCTATGTACCAGAGAGACATTTGCTAAGAAAGCCAGATAAAATGCAAGATTCCCAGTTAAAATTTAATTTAACAATGATTTCATAGTAAAATGTGCACTGTTTACTCCTACTAAATGGGTTTTGTTTGAAATTCAAACATAATTGATCATGAGTATTGTTAAAATTCCCAACCCTTAAACTGTCTACCTCACACGTGATCTACACTTCGTTAATCACCAAGACCTACCACCAGTGTCTCCCAAGGACTTCAAATCTTCCGCTGTCCCCTCACACCTCTCTATGAAGGCTGCCCTGGCTTTTGTACAGCACATACCATGAGCCAGTGTTCTAGAGGGGTACTCACACACATTCGCTCACTTAGGCGTTTCTGTATCCTTTATGTAGATTAGAAAGCGAACTTAGGAGGGTTGACCGACTCCCCTCGAAGGCTAAACTTCTGAGTAACACAAGCCAGCTTCAGACACAGCCTGCCCAACTCCAGGAGCCACTTTATCCACTGTCCAGCCCTGACCCACAGTGCAGCCTGAACGACCTTCCTCAAAGGAGACTTTTTAATGTCTCTTTCCTCTATTTCAAACTAGTTTATGGCTTATTTCCTTCAAGAAAAATATCAAAACCTAAGAAAACTGCTATCACGGCTTCCCACCCTGTAGTCAAGTCCTGACTACGTCTCTAGTGTCGTCTCCCAACAGGAGCACTGCAGACTCACTTTTTTCTTCTCTCAACCCTTGACAGCCTTTCTGCGAGGGGGCTGCTCTGTCCATGGCAATGGTTTCCACCTACCTCCTCGGCTTACTTCATTTCTCTATAAGCCAGGTCTCCTCGATGCCATGAAGAAATTTCTTTAGGCCAATTCAGGCATGCCTCTGACAGTTTCACTGCATCCTGCTGATCCCCACCAGTGCCCAGATACACATAATTAATCTAATTTTCATCAGACTTGTCACCTTCATCACGGCCAGAACATCATCTGCATAAATCACTGATCCCTCTCGTACCCATAGTAGGCCTTCACTAAACACTGGTGAGGATGCAAAAATGGGCAGGCAGATTCAGTGAGTTCCACAAGTACTACACTCAGAAAATATGCACACACACACACACACACACACACACACACACACACACACTCAGTTTAAAGATTTTAGTTTTATTCCACAACCCACATCATTTTCTTATGTCAAAAAAAAAAAAAAAGTGGGACTCACAATCACATTGGAGTTCTTAAAAACCTTCTGGACCCAGAAGATGGATGACAACAATGAGCAGAAAGGCTTTAGACATTTGAGTGGTGGAGCAGACATGGGAACATAGAGATCCTTGGTGTAGTATGATGTACATACATGTGTATGCACATACCTACTGAGATACACACACAAACACACACAAAATGCCACTGGGAATTTAACTGTGGCAACAGGGAGCAGGATCACAGGAAACCATCTGTTGAGTAAAGTCGTGGACAATGGAACTTGTGGAAATGTTCTGATCATTAAGTTCTGAGATATATTAGTCTTAGTGAAGAGGATAAGCTGAAAGACAAAACCAGCACATCCCATGTTGTCTATTCTATCGGGAAAAGCAGAGATAACAGGTCAAGTGTCACACACACTTGAGGGTCTAGGTAAGAAGAAACCATCATCCTGAGGTCACAAAATTAGTCTGTTTTCCTTGTTCCGGGTCCTAGCTGTGCTCTTAGCCCCAAAAGCAGAAAAAAAAAAGTGTTCAGCAAGAGTGAAAGGAAAAAATTGAAAGATCTAGAAGAGCCAGACAGATGGCACAGACAACATCATTTTCACATTAATTTATATCCAGATCACATGATTTATCTCTCTATATTTGTCCTTATATCCATTTGCAGGGATAGGTTGTAGCTACATCAGCTAATACCTGTTTGGGCACCTGGTTCATCATACTGTCCAAGTCACAAATCCCAAAGGCTTGTCTTTGGTAGCTGAGGAAGGAAGGTCCCTGGCTCCTTAAATTCATGAGGATGATATCATGAAGGTACTAACAGCTCTCCAATTTGGATAAATTACCCATTAACATAGATACTTAGCATTAATTTGGACTTACTGCAATAGCTTCCAGTCACAGAGAATTCTCGACCAATTAAGGATCATTTTTGCAAGAAGAAATGATTTCTTAGCTAAGTCCGGGTATACAAATGGGGGTGCACTTTGGTACAGAAGATCGGGTAGTTCAAATCTTGGAGAGTAAGGAACTGCATAGAAAAATATGTGGAATGTAAGCAGAGGACAATCACCACCAAGGGAAGTACGAAAAAGCACATGGCCCCAGACGAGGCTCGATGTGGGGGCTTCCAGGAAGCAGCCACCACGATGGACTTCGCTGTGAAGTGAGCGTGCCTGCTCGCAGGAGCTTGATTATAAAGGTTACTCCCACCAGGGCTTTAGTAGTCCTATTTTTAAGCAGTTCAATTAGGATGACGCAGGGAACTTCCTGCTCACAGACTGCTTGTCACCTCACCTGAATGTGCCTAATTCTAGACCATTACCTCTCCTTTGATGGCTCCCAACTATAGAAAACAACATTTCCCTTCCCCTTCTGCTTAAACTTCTACTCCTGAGTGTGGCTTAATGATAACTAACCTTAATTTCTTCTTCGACTCAATACATCTCTGACCTCACTCCATTAGCTCAGCTTCATGGTCCACATCTTTACATCTGTATCATTATAACTGATATTTCTGAGACTGTTTTCCCTTACAAATGTCTTTATACTGCCTTTTTAAACACAGCCATCAGGCCAGTGTGCTATCTTTATTTTATGTGGAGCCGAGAGTTCGCAGGCACAAACCAGCTGGTAAAGCATATCATTTCCCTCCCCTCTTAGTTCAGCCAGCTCTCGGTCCTGAGCAATGCAAACCTCAGAGAGAAGACAATGTGTCTTCCAGTTCAAGGAAAGTGGACCTCATATCAAAACAGTGCTGTACCTGAAAAGGCCTCATGGAGCCCACAGAGCTCTGCATTATTAGCAAGACTGTGGGTATCATCTCCTGTCGTGGCTATTTGCACAGCACAGCACCTGTCCTGAGCGTAAACGAGAGCCCATTTCCTAGCAATATCCCTCCTGGGGACCATGAACAACTAGGCTCTGCTAAGGTCCTGAAATGGGAGAAAGAAAACAAACTTAACCTCTGGGCCATGTTCAGAAAAGGAGGGCAGCGCTTGGCTCAGCACTCATTACAGGCCATTAGGAGATGGTACTCTGTGCCTTAAACTGAGGACACGATGATGCTCATGGAAGGAATCTGTGTCAGGAAGGGCTCAATAATCAGGGTGTCTGGATGCAGTGCCGATGGAGGGGATTTTCAAATCAAGATACTAATGCTTCTCTTCGTTTTGATGTTGTTAATAAAAATAATGCTAACAGCATTTTCCATACTTTTGACCCAGTGTTCATGGGAGTACAAACATGCCACCACTTATCTCAGTGTTATTTGAGGCAATCAGTGCTCTTATTAAATTAGATATGCTGCAAGTGTTCAACATTTACTTCCTCTTTTGGCAACTCTTTATTCCTCTGCTACGTTCCAAGCTGTTATAGACTCTTAAAACCCAGCTCAGATTTCCTCTATTAAATTCTCCATGTCCCTATCCTTCAAGAATCCACTGGTCTCTTCTACACTACACGTTCCTTGTCCTTATACAAACCAGATTCCCCTAGATGAAGAACCAGGGCTTTGTGTATTTGTGGTTTGTGTCTTAAAGGAGCTCAGGGCCTGGTATATAGCACCATATTAAATAGATGAGCCAACAGCAATGACATGGGTGGACAGCTCAGTGGACAGAGGGAAGGCCGGGTTGATGGTTAGATCAATCTCTGTGGTCCCTTTAAGCATGAAATGATTTCTTTCCCTATGAGAGGGAAGATGGTCACTATCCATCTGCGAGACAAAAGAGTGGCTTGTTAGAATGGTCCAGCCTATCAGGGAATGTAGAAAGGGGTGTGTAAGAATCAGCATAATGACTGGAAAACGTAACTTTCCACAAATCATCTGATGGGTCAAACTAGAGATGGAAAATGTCAGCCCTCTTGCTTTTAGAACAATGAGCATGGTAGAAGCCGGTGCCCCTAAGCTTCCCACTGGACTCTTGTTTTACACAGGCTCACCTTTCTTACCTGTGTGAGCATCTGGTAAGTCTCTTAGAAGCTTGCTCGCTCTTTATTCCCGCCCCCTTCCCTGCTGTTAAAAATAGCATCTCACTATGTAGCCCCAGCTGGCCTGATACTATGTAGATCAGGCTAGTCTGGAACTCACAGAAAACTGTCTGTATCTGCCTTCCCAGTGCTGGGATGAAAGGTATCCACCATCATGTCTAGTCATAGCACATTTTCTAAGCATCAAATACAAAATCAATAAAAAAATACAAATACTGAAGTATCTGATAAAATTCAGGAGATTATGATTACACACACACACACACACACACACACACACACACTCACACACACAATGTCATAACCC